TTGTTTTGGCTTGACCTTTTCTTTTTTAACCCATAAGATAAGTGATTCTCAAGCCCTTTGACCATATGTGGACCTTCCTGAGTTCTATTAAATTATTGTTACTGGCCAGGCATGGTGGCTCATGCTTGTAATCTCAACACTTTGGGAGGCCAAGGAGGGCAGATTGCCTGAGCTCAGGAGTTTGAGACCAGCCTGGGCAACATGGCAAAACCCATCTCTGGAAAAACAAACAAACAACAACAACAAGAAAAAAAACAGCTGGGTGTGGTGGTGCATGCCTGTAGTCCCAGCTACTTGGGGGGCTGAGGCAGGAGGATAACTTGAGCCTGGGGGGTCATTGCTGCAGAGAGCTGAGATTGCACCACTGCACTCCAGGCTGGGTGACAAAGTGAGACACCATCTCTGTAAGAAAAATAAAATAAAATAATTATTACTACTACTACTATTACTATTATTATTTTAATTATCTATCATAGGGAAGCACTCTTGTAGGTTCTCAGAGAGGGACAAAAAGTTGAATAACTTACAACCCTTGATGAAACTATTAACTTCCCTTGGCCTATAGAAGTAGCCTATCAGGCCAAGTCTTTAGAACAGAGATATCAAAGAACATTCCAGAAGGACAGTCCATTTGCTAATTCACAGAATTGCTCAAGTCTTTAGTAATGAGCATGAATGGAAATTAATTTTCTTAACCCTTTGTGTCATAGAACTAGACTCTCCCCAAAGGTAGGGGTGACTGGACCTCACAGTCCCAACTTCTGCCTAGAGATTCTCCTTCCCTATGAGTTCTAACGCCAACTACCAGAGTTAGGCCAAACTGCCCTCACTTCAGGCAGTATCTGCTAGTTTAAGGTCCCCAGGTAACCCTCACCTCTGACCAGTTGGCTACAAAGAATTCAGGAAAGCACTCTACTTATAATCACAGTTGTATTATAGCAAAAGGACACAAATGCACGTCTCCTTTATTCTTGCAATCCCACAGTTAAGAATTGAGACTGCAGATGTAATAGCTAATATATGACAAATTGTATTTTCAAGGATGGTATTTGTAATAGAAAAACCAAATGTAGCAAAAAAAAAAAAAAAAAAAAAAAAAAAAAAATGTTCTCAAGCCTTGATGAACAAGCGAGACTCCGTCTCAACAAAAAAAAAAAAAAAAAAAAAAGCCACAGAAAAACTGAAAAAAAATAACACAATAGGATACCTGTTAAATTATCTCATAATCACGCATTTAAAAACAATGAAAAGAATGAGATAGAGCTGTGTGTGTTGACATAGAAACAGCTCCAAAATATTTTATTAAATGTAAAAAGCAAGAGGCAACACAATGTGTATAAATCTTTAAAAATGAAAACTGCCTGTGTAAATACAAAACAGCACACACATATATATTAATTGCTGGAAGCATCCACAAGAAACTTGAATAATTTCCTTAGGAAAGAACGACTGGGAGACCTTCAGTTCTCATTTGATACCTTTAGAAAATATTTGCATTTGTTACTAAGGGCATATAATTTTGTTAATGGAAAGAGTAAATAGGTTGCACACCAATGTGAATGTGCTTAATGCCACTGGACCAGACACTTAAAAATGGTTAAAATGGTAAATTTGAGGTTATGTATATTTTTCCATTTAATTTTTTTAGTAAACAAATATATGTAAATTTATTTTAAATAAAAGAAATATCAAGAGGGGAATCAAGAAGTCACGGGAACAGAGTGTCTGAGTGCGTGAGAAGCTGCAGGGTGGCAGTAGAAACAGGCTCAAGGCTCTGCCTGTTGACTCCCTGGAGGCGATTTGCGTAGGAGGCCTACCTAGGCTTGGGTTCAGAAAGGAGCCAGGACATGCATATTTGTCTGAAATAGGTTGGGGAGGGGAACCTGGTAATGTTTTATTTCTATTCAAGCTGTTGATTAGACTCTGCACTGTGTGAAATTAGAGAGCAGGAGGATTTATTGGGCAGTGTGACCAGTTTTCTACCTGAGTAACCAAGGTTGGACTTGTACAGATCCTATATAAAACCTGAGATGGATTCTTCTTGGTAGTTGAGAAACTGTCCTAGACTCATGGACTCCTTGAATATCAGAGCTGAAAAGAACCTTGGGGAGGTTCTCCTTTTACTTGAAGACCAAGGAATGACTTGTACTGGTCCAAGTCACATGGATGGTACGTGACTAAGCCAGGATTGTAACTCGGGTCTCCAGGCAAATACTGTTTTTCTAAAAAAAAAAAAAAAAAAGGTGACACCACCAGCAATGTTCTAGGCATGGCTTCATTACCTTCACTCAGTTTCTCTTTCTGTTAACTGCCCAACTGCTTCTCAAATACCAAGGTCTGGGTATTTGGTCATTATTCTTTAGACACATTGCAGGGTTCCAGTTGCTAATATCTTATCTAGGATGATTGTGCCTGTACTCTATGTGTGAGGTTAATCTATAATTTTCTGGTAGTGAGGTTAATCTATAATTTTCTGGTAGTGTACTACTATATTTCACTGATTCCATGATGCATATTTTTTTCACATTTTAACATCTCTGAAATCAGGATAAGGCAGATGATTGCCGTTGGCCAGGGCTGTCATGACAGTTATCATCACCTGTGCCTGTACCTGTGCCTGTGTGAACTTGCCTGGAACCTTCCATTGACACCTGCTGGCAATAACAAGAAAGCTACAGCATCAAAACTTGCCAACGGAATGTCAGAAGTTTGGAAAAAATCACAGAGACAATAATGGACGCTTCTTTTGGAAAAGGTCATATTACTCATGATTTTTGGTGCAGAGGACAGTATTACATAGAGAAACGCTGACATCAGCAGCTTTGACTTGAAAAGTGATCCAAAAGAACAAAACTCTGAGCATGAAGCTATTTCCTTTTTTATAAATGCAGAAGAATGAGGTCAGGCATTTTAGCTCACGCCTGTAATCCCAGCATTTTGGGAGGCCGAGGCGGGCGCATCACCCGAGACCAGGGGTTCGAGACCAGCCTGGCCAATATGATGAAACCCCGTCTCTGCTTAAAATACAAAAAAAAAAAAAAAAAAAAAAAAAAATTAGCCAGACGTGGTGGCACATTCCTGTAATCCCAGCTGAGGCAAGAGAATTGCTTGAACTGGGAGGCACAGGTTGCAGTAAGCCGAGAACATGCCACTGCACTCCAGCCTGGATGACGGGAGTGAGACTCTGTTTCAAAAAAATAAAAAAATAAAAAATGCTGAGGAATGATAGATGTTCAAAAATCTCTTAAAATAAGCCCAAAGCAGGCCGGGTGCGGTGGCTCATGCCTGTAATCCCAGGCAGGCGGATCATGAGGTCAGGACCATCCTGTCTAACACGGTGAAATCCCGTCTCCACTAAAAATACAAAAAATTAGCAGGGCGTGGTGGCGGGTGCCTGTAATCCCAGCTACTCGGGAGGCTGAGGCAGGAGAATGGCGTGAACCCGGGAGGTGGAGCTTGC